GCCTGGGTGTAGGATTTGGGCCGATTCGGCCCCGAGGGAGCTGAGGTTAGCACTTTGGGAGCTGAGGTCTCCGCCCTCGAGATGATCAGCCACGCGCAGAGGGGGGTGGGGGGAGGGGGGAGGGCTTCTTCGAAACACCCCTGCTTCTGAGAAGGCGCGGGCCCCACCTGTAGATGCAAGGCCGGCGCCTTCTAAGAGGCAGCCTCCTTCTGAGAAGCCTTCCCCCCCCCCTCCATCCCCATGTGCGCGCCGCCAAGATGAAGGGGCGGGAACCCCGAGCGTTTCTGGGCGCGGGTCGAGGCCCCGAGTTTTTGCGCGGTGTGCTCCGGCTCCGCAGCCAGCTTCGAGCTCTGCTGGGTGCGCTGCCTCCCCGAGTCGGTCCTCGAGGCCAGCAGCCACCGGGTGTCGGAGCTGGTCGAGCAGCCTCCCACCTCGGTGGCAGGGGCTGACCGCGTCTCGCGTGGGCGGGGTGTGCTGGTGCAGGTTGCGACGCTGGTTAGAGTGGCTCACTTGGGGCGATCTCGGGCCCTCGTGGGGCCGCCTGGGGGCCTCTTGGCCCAGATTGGGGCTCTCTTGGGCCATCGTGGGGCCATCCTCAGGCCTCGCACCAAGTGCGCATCGCAAGCGAAAAGGCGAGAAGGCCAGCGTCATTGATTACCTCTTACCTTTAGGTGTTTGCAGGACTTGGACCTCGGGGGGGTGCTTGGAAGGGCTCCGAGCGCATCTGGAACCGTCTTGTGGCTCTCGTCGGGCCTCTTGCAGGTATGTCGGAAGCGATCGTGCACCCTCGCTGCTCAGCTTGAGCAACCTTGGAGCATCGGAAGCCCTCTTGGAGCCATCTTGGGACATCTTGGACGCTCGAACCCGTCGCGGCCCGCCCCAAAACAAAAACCTCAGGAAGGGGAGGCGGGAGCGTAAGCCTCCCCGAAGGGAAGAGCGTGCGGGGAAAGGAGTATCTCCTTGAACCATCATAGGCCAAAGGGCTGGTGGCATTACGTAGAAGGACAGGAAATGGATGAGGGAAAGCAGGATTCAGGAGGCAGGGGGGAAGGAGGCAGATGCGGCAGGAGGTGGAAGAACGAGGATATGCAGGATTCGTGAATGAAGCGGGGAGGAGAATGAGGAGAGCAGGAGGAAGCAGGAGGAGGGAGAGAGGGGCGGGGTGGGTGGGGAGGATGCAGATGTGGTGTGTGTGTGTGTATGTGTGTGTGCGCGTGTGTGTGTGTGTGTGTGTGTGTGTGCGTGCGTGCGTGTGTGTGTGTGTGTGTGTGTGTGTGTGTGTGTGTGTGTGTGTGGGTCGGACAAGTGGGTGGGCGATGTGGAGAGCACAAGGTCGTAGGAGGAGGACCACTGCCCACGAGGGGCACTCGACACGCAGGGGCGCGAGGTGCAGGCGACGCCTCCGCGCCGACGCGTGCCTCCCCGCGGGCAGCGGCCATGAGCACTCCGCAGCCCTGCGGGCATGGGCATGCGTCGCACGTCACCGTCTGGGCCAGTGGCCTGTCCTGCCCCCTGGGCCTGGCGCGGCGTCGAGAGTGCAGCGCTTCGCGATTTTTTCTGAGCTGTTTTTGCGTGGTAGCCTGTGACGTAGGCAGAGCCAGCCTCTCGCGTGCCACCGGCAACGCATGTCAGGCGAGCGCAGACGTGGATCAAGGGGGCGTCGATTAGCGACGGGTCCCGTTTCCATGGGAAACCGCGAGCGAGGCGGCACCTGCCGCACTTTTGGGGAGGGCGCCTCCCCCGATCCATGGAGTTGGCGACCGCGCGCCAAATCAATGGATCGCTAATCCATGCTTGCGCGCCCCCGAGCACGGGAGGTAGCACGAGCCTGTCCCGGGGCAGAGCTTCGGAACGACGCCCGGGGGTGAGGGTCGGCGGCGCAGCAGGGACAGTTCCACGGCAACCTCAGAGCTGTTCCTGTGGCGCGGCCCCAGGTGAGTCGCGTCGTGTGGGCAGAACCCCCACCCTGACACGTCGATTAGTGAATTGTCCGTTTTCGGTTCTCGAGAGGGCGCCGCGGCCGCTATTTTCCAGGCTTGAGCCCGCCAGGTTTGGGCCCGAGGTCGTTTTCACTAAACCACGTTTTGCTAAAGGGGGTTCTGTCCATCCCCGAGTGAGTGGCTTCGTTTGCGCTCAACGCATTCATGTTCAGTAACCGACCGCGGGCGATAATAAAGTACCTTTTTATCCCCGACCGCAGGAATCTATCTGTGGGGGAGGCGCGGAGGCCGAACTTTATAATCCACGCAAAAGTTGTGGGGATCGAAGCTGCTATCATATCAGGTTGATTAGCAACAGCATCAAACACGCTGAGCATGGCCATGGTGATCTCACCACACCAGCTTCCGCAATCACGAGCGCGTGGCAGGGCTGTGGGATTCTCACCTGATTTCTCGAGTCATCCTTGTGTAGTGCGCCTCTGCGGGCAAGTAGCCAAGGGCCTCGAGATCGCTCGAGTCAGGCTTCTGTCGTGCGCCTGGTTTAACCTCCTCCTCCTCCTCCTCCTCCTCCTCCATCGTCGTCATCATCATCATCATCATCATCATCATCATCATCATCATCATCATCATCATAGTTAACTTACCTTCCCTGGGGAATCCTTTATCATCCCCGCGGGAACCGCGAACTTTATTCTCCCAGGGGGGGTATTATCGCCCGCGGTCGGTTACCACGGGACGAGATGCAACGCGTTGGTGCACCATGCAAAGCAATCGTAACGGCGCATCGTCCCAGCGTTTCGTAGCAGCGCGTCGCAATACGTTGCAGTGTGTCGCGGCCCATGCAAGCACATGCGTGCATCAACGGACATGAAGGTTCGCCAGTTCATAGCAATGTAAGCCAGTTCGTAGCACTACAACGCGGAGCATCTGATGGCACAGTGTCATGTTATGCTACTGGAAAACGCTGCGCGGCATAGCATGGCACAGCCCGGCGTGACACAGTCTGGCATAGGCTAGCATTGCATGCATGCTTCGCAGAGCATTTCACATCATTGTACGGTTGACCATCGCATAGCCCAGCGTGGCCTTACAAATCATAGCACGTCATAGGATGTCATAGCGCGGCGCACTGCCGCACAATCTCGAACGTGCCGTGCACTAGGAGCAGGCACCGACGTCGCGAGGCTCTGGTCTGGCACGTGTTCTCTGACAGTGGCTTTCGTGATGCAAAGACCCCGCATGCAAGCGTAACGTGGGAGTACAACACACAGAGCGACGGTTTCAAAACCAGTTGGGCAGCGGATCCGACGAGTAACACTACTTGAAGGGATGGTTGTGTCGACATAGCCGCGGGCAACATGCAAGCGGAGCCTTCAACGCTGGGGGCACGCATGCGAAAAGAAGGAGGGGGAAGCGCGAGGACGAGGAGGAACGCGACACGATGTGAGGCAAGGGCGCGCTTGAAGCGAACGTGAAGGAGGTGTGGAGCGCACGTTGGGCTTTGCTCAGCGCCCGCCGCAGAACCGCGCAACGCCTTCCAGTGGAAAACGTGCAGGTGGCGCACGTGCGAGGCACGTGCTGACATCAGGGGCGTATCTTTCGGCAGACTGCGTACGTAGGGCCAGGCTCAATTGTCACGAGTCAGTGGGGATCCTGTGGGTCTCTCCGGCTTAGTTGTGCTCGGCGGCCATGCCGGCCAATTCCGAGAAGGAGCACTTGTCCATCGTGATCTGCGGCCATGTCGACAGTGGCAAGAGCACAACAACGGGCCGACTGATCTTCGAGCTGGGCGGACTGCCCGAGCGCGAGCTCGAGAAGCTGAAGGCGGAAGCCGAGCGCCTGGGCAAGGGCTCCTTCGCCTTCGCATTCTACATGGACCGCCAGAAGGAGGAGCGCGAGCGCGGCGTGACCATCGCTTGCACCACCAAGGAGTTCTACACCGAGAAGTGGCACTACACCGTGATCGATGCCCCGGGCCATCGCGATTTCATCAAGAACATGATCACCGGTGCTTCCCAGGCAGACGTTGCGCTCATCATGGTCCCGGCCGACGGTAATTTCACGACTGCCATCGCCAAGGGCAACCACAAGGCTGGCGAGATCCAGGGGCAGACTCGCCAGCATTCCCGTTTGATCAACCTTTTGGGCGTAAAGCAGATCTGCATTGGCGTCAACAAGATGGACTGCGACACCGCTGGATACAAGCAGTCCCGCTATGACGAGATCGCAAACGAGATGAAGAGCATGCTGGTCAAGGTTGGCTGGAAGAAGGACTTCGTCGAGAAGGGGACGCCGGTAATGCCCATCTCTGGCTGGATGGGCGACAACCTGCTGAAGAAGTCCGACAACATGGGCTGGTGGAAGGGCTGCGATGTCGAGTACGGCAAGGAGACCATCCACGTGGACACCGTCTACGATGTGCTTGACGTGATGTGCCGCGTGCCAGAGAGGCCCACCAGCGCGCCCATGCGCATGCCGATCTCCGGCATTTACAAGATCAAGGGTGTCGGCGATGTGCTCGCCGGGCGCGTGGAGCAGGGCGTGGTGAAGCCGGGCGAGGAGGTCGTATTCTTGCCCACGCACACTGCTTCGAATCCGTGCACTGGCAAGGTGTTCACCGTGGAGATGCACCACCAGCGCGTCGACTTCGCCAACCCAGGGGACAACGTTGGCCTCAACATCAAGGGCCTCGACAAGAATAATATGCCCCGATCTGGCGACGTGATGGTCTACAAGAAGGACACCACCCTGGGACAGACGAAGGAGTTCGACGCGCAGATCCAGGTGCTCGATATCCCCAACGAGATCAAGGTAGGGTACTCCCCGATCGGCTTCGTGCGCTGCGGGCGCGCGGCGTGCCGCATCAGCAAGCTTAAGTGGAAGATGGGCAAGGAGACGGGTGGCAAGAAGATGGAGGACCCCCACTCCCTCAAGTCCAACGAGATGGCTCAGTGCAGCTTCCAGCCGCAGCAGCCGCTGGTGTGCGACACCTTTAAGAATTGCGAGGGCTTGTCGCGCGTGGCGTTCATGGACGGCAACGGCGTTGTGATGCTTGGCAAGGTCATCTCTTGCGAGCGCAAGGAGGAGGGTGGCGCTGGTGGCAAGAAAAAGTAGTCCAGGAGCGTGGTCCCGCAGCCGACGCGACGAACGTTTCCTCGTTTCCCCTCCCTTGCTCTGAGAGACTGTGTGCTTCCGTGGCCGCGTCAGGAGTTTTGGTAGGGCGCTCGCTCTGTAACGGGCTGCGCCGTCTGGTAGGTTCACGATCGGCCGAAGAGAAAACAAACATGAGGCTAGACCCAGGTACGATGCACGTCAGCGGGAAGGGCGAGGAGAAGGAGGAGGAGGAGGATGGGAGGGGTGGAGGACGGGTAGCGGGAGTACGAGTAAAGGGGAGGAGGAGGAAGAGGAGGAGGAGGAGGAGGAGGAGGAGGAGGGAGGAGGGGAGGAGAAGGAGAGGAGGAGGATGGGGGGAGGAGGAGAAGGAGGTGGAGGAGGAGGAGGAGGAGAAGGAGGAGGCGGAGGAGGAGGAGGGGGAGTGGGAGGAGGACGAGGAGGTGGAGGAGAAGGGGTAGAGAATGATGCGGTGGAGATGAGACCAGGACGTGGCCAAGTGAGAGGAGGATGAGGACGAGGACGAGGATGATGAGGAGGAGGAGGATGAGGACGGTGAGGAGGAGGAGGAGGAGGAGGAGGACGGTGAGGAGGAGGAGGAGGAGGAGGAACAAACGAGGGGGGAGCGGGAAGCGAGGAAGTGGCGGAGAGGGAGGAGGCCGTCCAGAGGCGTAAGGGGGAGTGGGAGCAGGACAGTTAGGAGGTTTAGGAGGGTAATGAGGAGGATCGTGAGTGAGTGAGCGATGCTGCTGCTGCTGCTGCTTCTGCAGCTGCTGCTTCTGCAGCTGCTGATTCTTCTGATGATGTTGATGGTGCTTCTGACGATGCTTCTGATGATGCTGCTGATGATGCTTCTGATGTTGATGCTGCTGATACTGATGATGCTGATGTTTCTGATGTTGCTGATGGACCTTCTCATGATGCTTATGATTATATAGGCTGTTGGTTATGATGATGCTGCTGATGATGAGTATTATGATGGATACTGCTCATGATGATGCTGATGATGCTGCTGCTGATTATGATGACGACGACGACGACGATGATGATGATGATGCTGATGATGATGATGCTGATGATGATGATGATGCTGGTGCCGATGATGCTGATGATGCTCATGATGCCGATTAGGATGATGATGTTGATGACGGTGATGTCGATGATGATGCTGCTGATGATTCTGATGCTGCCGATGATGACGACCTCGATGATGATGACGCTGATGATGCTGGTCGTAATGATGATACTGCTGCTGGTGCTGATGATGTTGTTGCTAACAATGCTGATGCTGATGATGATGATGCTGATGATGATGATGATGATGGTGATGGTGATGATGCTGCTGCTGATGATGATGCTGATGATGATGATGATGATGATGATTATGATTATGATGTTGATGACGCTGATGCTGATGATGCTGATGATGATTATGATGAAGCTGTTTCTGCTGCTGATGATGACTCGGATGCTGACGATGATGATGCTGATGCTGCTGCTGCTGCTGCTGCTGCTGATGATGATGATGATGATGATGATGATGATGATGATGATGCTAATCATGATGCTGCTGCTGATGATGTTGATGTTTCTGAAGAGGATGCTGCTGCTGGTGTTGATGATGCTGATGACGATACTGATGACGATGATGCTGATGCTGATGCTGCTGCTGATGATGATTATGCTGATGCTGCTGATGATGATCAGGAGGAGGAGGAGGAGGAGGAGGAGGAGGAGGAGGAGGAGGTGGAGGAGGAGGGGGAGGGTGAAGGGCAGAGGACGATTTGGCGGATGGGGAGGAGGAGGGAGGGTAAAACGGAGTCAGAGGAGGAGCTGGATGAGAATGAAGAGGACGTGTAGGATTAGAGAGTGGGATTACAAATAGCATAAGGAGGAGGGAGGGGAAGAGGCAGAATTTCGCTTCGCCTGGGTTTTGTTTCGTTATGTTCGCTGCGCCCAGGTTTCGCTTCGCCCAGGTTCATTTCGCCTGGGTTCGTTTCGCCCAGTTCGCTTCGCCCTGTTTCGCTTCGCCGGGTTCGCTTCGCCCAGATTCGTTCCGCCCTGGTTCGCTTCGCCTTGGTTTCGCTTCGTCCAGCTTTTGCTTCGCCCACTTCGCTTCGCCCAGGTTTCGCTTCGCGCGGTTCGCTTCGCCCGGGTGTCGCTTCGCCCGGGTTCGGCTCGCCTGGATTCGTTCCCCCCCGTTCGCTTTGCCCGGGTCCGCTTCGCCTGGGTTCGCATTCGCCCGGGATCCGCTTCGCCTGGCTTTGGCTTCGCCCAGGTACTGGTTGTGGTGTTCAAGGCGGAAGTGGGCGGGCGGGCGGGCGGGCGGGCGGGCGGAGGGCGGGTGGAACGGAGCAGGTGTCGAGGAGGGCCTGACCTGGGCGAAACAAACCCTGGGCGAACTCAACCCGGGCAAAGCGAACCAGGCGAAGCGATTCCAGGCGAAGCAATTTGGGCGAAGTAGATTCACCAGCCTCCGTCTCCAACACATGACTCAGTACTCAATCCATATGGAACGGCATCCCGCTGCAAGAGATAATCTTTAGGAGATGTATTTAATCCCGACCCGCCCGCCGCCCGCCGCATGCCGCCCGCCAACCTCGCTTCCGCCTTCGACACCACAACCATTATTCACCAGTACTCCACAGCTGTCGTTTCCTGCGCAACACCCGGGATTGAACAGCACCCCACTGCAAGAGGGCACCTTGAGGACTTTTACTAAATTCGCGACCCGCCCGCCTTCCGCCCGCCTCCCGCCCGCCGCCCGCCCTCCCGCCCACCCGCCCGACGCCCGCCGCCTTCAACACCACGCCCAGTACTCACCAGCCTCTGTCTCCAACAACACCCAGTACTCAACAGCCTCCGCCTACCACGCCACACGCAGTAGTGATTGGCATCCCCTTGCAAAAGAGAATCTTCCCGGATTCTAGTATCATCCCGACCTGCCCGCCGTCCGCCCGCCCGCCGCCCGCCCGCCCCACATCCGCCTCCAGCGCCACACCAAGTTTTCGTCTCGAAGACAACACAACACACAACACCTAGTACTCCACAGCCACCGCCTCCCACACCACAGCCAGTGTAGAACGGCATACTGCTGGAAGGGACAACCTCCAGGAGTTTCGTTGACATTCCGACGGGCCCGCCCGCCCGCACGCCCACCGCCCGCCCCCCCGCCCGCCGCCCGCACGCCCTGCTTCCGCTTTCGTCATCACACCCAGTACAGCCTCCGATTCCAACACAGCACCCAGTGATCCACAGCATTCGTCTCGTCCACAACACCCAGCATTGAAAGGCATCCCCCCGCAAGAGTTTTCCTTGAGGAGTCGCATTGAAATTCCGACCCGCCCGCCCGCCGCTCGTCCGCCTTATTTCCGATTTCGCAACACCACACCCTACAGTCACTGGCCTCCGTCTCCAGCGCAACACCCAGAACTCCACAGTCTTCGTCCTCCACGCAGCACCCGGTATCGAACGGCACCCCGTTGCAAGAGACAGCTTCAGGAGATTTCATCAAAGCCCCGACCCGATCGCCGCCCGTCCGCCCGCCCCCCGCGCCCCACTTCCGCTCTCGATGCCACGCCCAGTACTCACCAGCTTCCATTTCCAGCGCAACAACCTGTATTCCACAGCCGTCCCCCACACAATACACTCTGTTCGCCGATCGCCTTTGCGCGGCGCCAGGCTTGAACGGGCAGTTTTTGCGGCGGCGACCGCGTTGCCAGGGTGTCCCGTTGCAGGGGTCGTTCGGCCGTCCGCGCCAGGGCGCCCAACTCCGCAAAAACAAATCCACTGGCCCAATGTTGAACGGCATCCCGCTGCAAGGGATAACCTCTAAGTGCTGCATTAACACACTTGCCTGCCCGCCGTCCGCCCGCCCGTCGCCAGCCCGTCCGCCTCCCGCCCGCCCCACTTTCGCCTGAAGCGCCCCCTTCAGTGCTCACCAGCCTCCGTCTCCAACACACCACCCAGTATTCCACAGCCTCCGTCTCCCACACGACACCCCAGTACTGAACGGCACGCTGCTGCAAGACAGACCCTCTGAGTGTTCCACTCGCATCCCGACCTGCCCGCCGCCCGCCCGCCCTCCGCTCGCCCGCCCGACCGCCGCCCGCCCGCCCTTCATCCGTCTCCAACACCACACTCCCGTAGTCATCAGCCTCCGTTTCCATCACAACACCCAGTATTCAACAGCCGTCATCTCCAACACAACACCCACTCTTGAGCGGCATCCTGGTGCAAGGGAGAACCCGTGCGCGCTGCGTTCAGATCCAGTCTGACCACAGCCCGCCCGCCCGCCCGCCGCCCGCCCTGCTTCCGTCTCCAGCACCACGCCTAGTATTCACCAGCCTTCGCCCACATTACAATACCCAGTGCTCAACGGTTTCCGCATCTCACACAACACCCAGTACGTCACAGCATCCCGCTGCAAGACAAATCCTGAGTTCCATTAAGATCAGGATCCGCCCGCCGTCCGCCCGCCGCCTGCCCGCCGGCCTTCTTTCCGTCTCCAGCACCGCGCCCAGTATTTACCAACGTCTGTCCCAAACGCAACAACACCCACTATTCAGTGACCTTAGTCGTTCACACAACATCCACTACTCAGCAGCATCCCAGTGCAAGAGAGAACCCGTAGGACTCCCGTTACAAACCCGAGTCTCCTGCCGCTTGCCCGCCCTGCTTCCGCCTCCAGCAGCACACCCAGTATTCACCAGCCTCCGCGTCCAACACAACACCCTGTATACTCACGAGCCTCCGTCTGCCATACAACACCCAGTACTCAACAGCATCCCGAGTCTGTAGGAGTCTTATGAAGAAGTCGATCCGCCCGCCGCTCGACCGCCCGCCATCTTGCCGCCTCCAACGCCACGCCCTGTACCCACCAGCCTCCGCCTCCGAGAGAACCCTTGGGAGTTCGTCTTAGTCCCGATCCGCCAGCCGCCCGCCCGCCGCCCGCCCCCCGCCCGGCCTGCTTCCGTCTCCATCGCTTCACCCCTGTATTCGCC